AAAAAAAAAAAAATTAATTAGGGGTGGAGGATTTTGCTGGAACTGGAAGATTTTCTTTTGAACGCGCATGTTGGGCCCTCCCCGGTTTCATGCGGTACATACATGACCGGAGGGGTGCAACCGGTTTTGTCGTGAAAATTTCTTTTAAAGGCAAATTGACCCCTCCCCGAAACGGGATCCTGATTTCGGGACAAGGAGAACTATAACACCAGCAAAATTTAATAATTTTTTCATTTTTATTATATTTTGAGTTGGTTAATTAGCCGACTTGCGGTGTACCGACGAGACTCAAAATCTGAGTCGATCATTACCAAAAAATATTTTTATGAAAGTACGGGAAGCGGAGAGTGCGTTGGTGGCATCGATTTATGATTTTGAGGTCCCGACCATTTATTTTGGGTAGCCCGAAGTTGAGAGAAAAATAGCAGTGTCGGTGATTTTATTGTCATTTTCATGTCTAGACTTCGGGTAACCGTCGGCCCTTGTTAGGCGTGCTGAAAATTAGCGGGAGTGCTTTCTTGAAAGCACGAGAACAGTAGAAGCCGTTCGTATAATTTATTTCACGTTTAGAAGTTTCGAGCATTTATTTTGAGAAGCTCGAAGTCGAGTGCGCATAATAGAAGAATAAAAAGCCGTTTTGCGGGATTCCGTAAGGTTGCGTGTGTCCTCGGTTTAACGAGAATCGAGTTGAAGAGTGTAGACAATTCAAGCACGATTCCATACGGACAAATTTCGCATTTTTCGGAGTTCCAAGCATTTATTACGGGAGTTTGAATTTCTCGTTAAATAGTATCAAAATGAGCAAATTTTTCGAGGACGAGTTCGATCGTTCGAGGCTTCATTTTCTCAATTTTTTCAGCTTTTCGAGTTAAAACAATTCAGTTTAAGTATACCAGTTTAATTCCGGACTTAGTTTGATTTTTAGAAAAATCTCTAGAGTATTTCTTTATATCCTGCGAAAATTTTTGAGAGCGTCCACAAAAGCCCTTTGAGCGCCCTTCCGATGCCGGAGTGGGGGTGGTGCGCCGGGGGATGGCCGGAGTGGGGGTGGTGCGCCGCGGCAAATTGGGCCCTCCCCGAGATGACCGGCTGGTTTCGCCACTGAAGATGAATATAATTAAGATAACAATAACACATGGACTAACAGAATTGGACAATTTGGACACTCGAGCAGTACGAACAGGTAGCTCGGCCACTCGACCAGTCTAGTCGGACAATCTTGAACAACAAGATATCAGATCTATATAAAGCGGTGAGGTATGATCATTTCTACTCTACACAAGGTAAGCATTCTATACTTACATACTTTGTATACATATTTTTCATCAAGCACTGACTTGAGCATCGGAACTTCTACGCCGGGACAATCTCGACGATGTTTTGTAGGTCATTTTATCGATTGAGAGCGGATTGAAGGACGTTTAACCCACTCAAGATCGTTTGCACTGCCAGGTGTGATGTTTTCTTGTGATCAAGTTTTACATATAAAAAAGGGATTAAAGCTCTATTAATTTACTGCTATCATAATAAATTGGTTGGTGAATATGGACATCAATAACCTCCAAATTCAAGTTGACAATGAAGTGGGTGGGATACAAATTGCAACTGTGTGGACAAATTTATGACAATTCGATTTCTAGTAAAGCTTGCAAGTTGCTTCAAAACATCTCAAGAGACAAATAACTAATCCCCCGCGTTTTCTTATGGCAATTATCAATTTCTTATGTTTTATTATCATAATACATTAATTTCGAGTGCTATTATAAATATGAAATTTTATTCTACGAGTATAACTTTTAAAACAATTGGATATTTAGGTAATTGAATATAAGTATATTTTAAAATTTAACATTTCTTATTTATAATCAACTTTTTCATGTATGATTATATTATATTATTAATCAGTCTTCGACTTGACATTGTATTATATATATATATACATATATAGGGATTGGTTCCAATGTATCCACATTCTTAAAGTGAGGACGTGAGGCTCATTTTCTAGCCACAAGATTTGGTACACAATGTGTGGTCAAGATTTAATCTTTTCTTTTTATTATTTTAATTATTTAAATATTATTTTGACCCATTGACTCCGGCGTTGACTTCCGGCGAAAATCCGTCGACTTCCGGCGAAAATCCACTGACTTCCGGCGTTTACCGTTGACTTCTGGCGTTAACCGTTCACAACTAAACTTGCAACTAAATATAAATAACCTAGCATGCTAGGTTAGTTGTTTGATGATGCTAGGTTAGTTCTCTGATGGTGCTAGGTTACTAGTTGTTAGCTTAGTTGTATCTTGCTGCTAAGTTAGTTATATAATGCTGTTAGGTTAGTTGTATCTTACTGCTAGGTTAGTTAATTTATGCTGTTAGGTTAGTTCTTTGATGGTGCTAGGTTACTAGTTGCTATGTCAGTTGTATCTTGCTGCTAAGTTAGTTATATAATGCTGTTAGGTTAGTTGTACCTTATTGTTAGGATAGTTCTCTGATGGTGCTAGGTTACTAGTTGTTAGGTTAGTTGTATCTTGTTGCTAAGTTAGTGATATAGTGCTGCTAGGTTAGTTGTATCTTACTGCTAGGTTAGTTGTCTTAAGCTGCTAAGTTAGCTCTCTGATGGTTCTAGGTTACTAGTTGCTAGGCTAGTTGTATCTTGCTGCTAAGTTAGTTATATAATGCTGCTAGGTTAGTTGTATCTTACTGCCAGGTTAGTTAATTTATGCTGCTAGGTTAGTTCTTTGATGGTGCTAGGTTACTAATTGCTATGTTAGTTGTATCTTGCTGCTAAGTTAGTTATATAATGCTGCTAGGTTAGTTGTACCTTATTGCTAGGAAAAGTTCTCTGATGGTGCTAGGTTACTAGTTGTTAGATTAGTTGTATCTTGCTGCTAAGTTAGTTATATAATGCTGCTAGGTTAGTTGTATCTTACTGCTAGGTTTTTTTTTTTTAAAAAAAACAACGCCCCGGGCGCGGGGGATTGGGCTGGATCCCCAACCTGTATATAGATCAAGACCCCAAGAAGGGCCCAAATATCAACCAAATACAATCAACATAGTCTCACAATCAAAAGGAAAACAAAAACCGAAAATGAAAAGGAAAGAAAATATAC